CAGGTCGAACCTTGACCCAGAACGTCAGTTGCCTGCAGTGAACAAAGAGGATCGCTCCTCCCCACGTTGCAACCAAAACCGCGTGTCCCAGGTGACTTCAAATGGCAATAGAAAAATAAAACTCACCTCTCTTCCCTCCTCCCCCTCCTCCTCCCCCACCACCGCCAACAAAGATAAAGATCCCCCGTATAGCTTTGATAGAATCTCGGGGCAAGTGCTGTTAGCGAGCACCGACGAAGGCCGGCACGGCACACGATGGGGGTGGGTGGCCAGCAACCACGCCCGGCCGCCTTTGTCTCCCCAGTGGCGATGTTTACACACCGCGCCAGGTACTCATTTGAGGCTGAGTCAACCTAGGGGAGGCCCACGACCGGTTCAGATAATCGTCACTGGTGTTGGCCGTGAGCGGGAATCGAACTCGGGATGCCAGGTTCATAGCGTAGCCCTGCCACCACCACCAACAACAACAACCGCCATTCACTACTAAGTGGCGGTGACGTCACCACGGCGCCTGTGCCAGGCCAGGTGCACTTTGAGGCCATGGGCTGACTGAGATGACTGGCAGATGCACCACCTGTGCCCCTTTACTCTGTCAATCACAGACACCACCATCATCACCACCACCCACACAGGGGCAAAGTGACTAAATGATCAGTGGTGTAGTAACTACATTATCAGTGGTGTAGTAACTAAATGATCAATGGTGTAGTAACTACATTATCAGTGGTGTAGTAACTAAATGATCAGTGGTGTAGTAACTACATTATCAGTGGTGTAGTGCCTACATTATCAGTGGTGTAGTAACTAAATGATCAATGGTGTAGTAACTACATTATCAGTGGTGTAGTAACGAAATGATCAGTGGTGTAGTAACTACATTATCAGTGGCGTAGTAACTACATTATCAGTGGTGTAGTCACTACATTATCAGTGACGTAGTCACTACATTATCAGTGGCGTAGTGACTACATTATCAGTGGCGTAGTGACTACATTATCAGTGGTGTAGTAACTACATTATCAGTGGCGTAGTAACTACATTATCAGTGGCGTAGTGACTACATTATCAGTGGTGTAGTAACTACATTGTCAGTGGCGTAGTAACTACATTATCAGTGGTGTAGTAACTACATAATCAGTGGTGTAGTCACTACATTATCAGTGGCGTAGTGACTACATTATCAGTGGCGTAGTAATTACATTATCAGTGGTGTATTAACTACATTATCAGTGACGTCGTAACTACATTATCAGTGGCGTAGTAACTACATTATCAGTGGTGTAGTAACTACATTATCAGTAACGTAGTAACTACATTATCAGTGGCGTAGTAACTACATTATCAGTGGTGTAGTAACTACATTATCAGTGGTGTAGTCACTACATTATCAGTGGTGTAGTAACTACATTATAAGTGGTGTAGTGACTACATTATCAGTGGCGTAGTAACTACATTATGAGTGGTGTAGTGACTACATTATCAGTGGTGTAGTAACTACATTATGAGTGGTGTAGTGACTACATTATCAGTGGCGTAGTAACTACATTATCAGTGGTGTAGTAACTACATTATCAGTGGTGTAGTAACTGCATTATCAGTGGTGTAGTGACTACATTATCAGTGGTGTAGTGACTACATTATCAGTGGTGTAGTAACTACATTATCAGTGACGTAGTCACTACATTATCACTGGTGTAGTAACTACATTATCAGTGGTGTAGTGACTACATTATCAGTGGTGTAGTGACTACATTATCAGTGGTGTAGTAACTACATTATCAGTGGTGTAGTAACTGCATTATCAGTGGTGTAGTGACTACATTATCAGTGGTGTAGTGACTACATTATCAGTGGTGTAGTAACTACATTATCAGTGACGTAGTCACTACATTATCACTGGTGTAGTAACTACATTATCAGTGGTGTAGTGACTACATTATCAGTGGTGTAGTCACTACATTATCAGTGGTGTAGTGACTACATTATCAGCTCAGGGGGTGAGGCAATCTGTCAGATGGGGCCTCAGTATTTGATTTGTCTCACAGGGTCGCACCTGGGCGATTAGAAATCGCGGCTCCTCTTACCGAATCAACATCATCGTTACGTAATAATAAATAAAGATGATGATGATCATCGTTACGCTCACGGTCTCGAACATTTAACGCTGTAGGGGCGCTCCGTCTTGGCAAAATGCAGCCACTAACAGCTCCGTCGGAGCTCTTTGCGATATAATTGACGTGTATCTGGTGAAATAAATAACCCCAGAAACGGAGTTCTACGTGAAAGCTATGTTCATTACAAACACATTAATTGAAACCGTCGTTTTTACACAATTTGTTGTTGTTGTTCTTTCACGCTGTTGTTGAAAAACAAGAAGGGGGCCCAACTCGTAGCTTTGGCCACCATGGGGAGCGAGAGGGGGGGGGCAAGGCAGAAGGTGCCCTGCCCCCCCCCCTCTCCCACGCTGAGCTAGGCTACCGGTGAGGCTACAATCGCGAGTCGTAAGCACGCCGCGTTTACCGCAGGCACAAAGTCCACGAGGGTTGCGTGTTGAGAATGAACGATCCCCTCGACGGAAGAGGGATTCCTGCTGAATGACAGCCGTCATCAAGCAAGCGACTGACATTCCTCATCGCTGTTTTTTTTTTGCGGCCACGCCGAGAGGAACCACGAATGATGGCTCTCCGTGCGGGGCATCTGATTTGATTGTAATGTGCGTGTGTGTGTGTATATCTGACGCTGAGTTGTGATCTGTGCAACGCATGTGTGTGTGTGCGCGGACTAGCAAACACACGCACACACGTTCATACACCAGCACGTACAGAGACAAAGGTCCCCCGTATAGCCTTAACAGACGGTTGGGGCAAGTGCTGTTGGCGAGTAGCACCTTTGCAAGACAGCGCGGCACACCAGGGGGTGGGTGTGGCCAGCAACGCGCCCGACCGCCTTTGTCTCCCTCGTGGCCACGTAATCATTTGAGGCTGAATCGACCTAGGGGAGGCCCAGAACCGGTTCAGATAATTGTCGCCAGTGTTGGCCGTGAGCGGGCATCGAACTCGAGTAGCCAGGTTAGCAGGGCAGCCCGGTCACCGAGGTTTTAGACACGTAACAAAGACAAAGACCCCCGTATAGCCCTAACAGACTGTAGGGGCAAGTGCTGTGAACGAACACCTATGAAGGCCGGCACGGCACACGACGGGCTGGGTGGCCAGTACCACGCCCGACCGCCTTTGTCTCCCCAGCGACGATGTTTTTGCACACCGCACCAGGTACTCATTTGAGGCCGAGTCGACCTAGGGGAGGCCGAGGACCGGTTCAGATCATCGTCACCGGTGTTGGCCGCGAGGGGGAATCGAACTGAGGTGGCCGGGTTTGTAGGGCAGCGCGCTAACCACTACACCACCGTTCACCATAAACTGAACACCAAACCACACAGACGTACACAATAACAGCGGCGACCGTTTGCCGCGGTGATGTTGACCACGGCGCTTGTGCCAGGCTAGGTGCACTTTGGCCGCGTGAAGTGAGCAAGGCTCGCCGGTAGGAGGTCACGGGATATACCCAGGTGCCGTGGGTTACCTAAGATGACCCCTAGATACACCGACTGTGCTCCCCACTATTTTGCATTTTATCCGCCTGGTGCTCCGCTCGTTGTTGTGAGCGTCGCTCTTCCGCCCTCTGTTGTTGTTGGAGGGCGACTGCTTCCAACTGCCCAGTAGCAGCGTCCGTCACGAGCCTCCTCCACAGAGGCCGACCTTGACACCGCTGGTACCAGTCATGGGCAAGTCGACTCAGCTGCACATCCATCCTGTATCACATCCGTCCATCTCTTCTCTAGCTCCTGCAGCACCCATTTAGCCCCCCTCTACCTGACCAAACAAATTACGCTTAGGCATGCGGGGGCTGGTAATGCGGGCTCCATAACCGGGCTAACTAGAGGCCGACCGAAACTGAATTTCTGGTTTCGGCCGAAAACGAAACCATGCCGAAAGTTACAAATTTACTTTCGGTCGAAACCGAAACTATGCCGAAAGAGGCCATTAGCCAACTTTCGCCGCCGAAACCGAAACCGAATATCGGTCGGCCTCTCGAGCCAATTCAACCTCGTCCGACGGGACTGTGTCCAGATCTCTCAATGATCTGTGGCCTCCTTGTACAGTCCTGTCTGGTTAAACCCAGGATGCGTACAGTAGGCAGGCCAGCTTGAATGTTTCAAGCTGCATGGAGAACTTGTTTCCTATAAAGGGATCCACGTTCTGCAAGCATACAAAGCAGGGGGAGGGAGGGGGCATTAACTCTGGCCCAAGACCAATCTCTTCATATGGAGCGGCATGTCGGGCGGCTTCCACGCCGATGAAAAGATAATGCCGCTCGTGTGACCCGGAGTGAAACCTCCGCTTCAGTAGCACAGGAGCTGGCATTGGGCACACTGCCCAGGTACGAGGGCTTTCTGTACCCGCTCCACAAGCATTGCAGTGGTCACTCGTGGAGAGTTGAGGAGGAGGAGGGGGGTCCGGGGGATGTTCGGGCAGGAAGTTTTGTTTTGGTGGGGCTGGAGAGTTCCAGGTAGTCTCCACCGTCTTCTCGGAATGCTCACAAATATATAGATACACATAGAGAGAGAAAAAAATAACAACCAGAATCCCACGTAACACCGTTCAAACAAAATCAAAGAAACCCCGATAGGCTGAACAGATGGTAGGGGGCAAGTGCCCTAATGAAGTAGCGCATAAGAAGACTGGGAAAGGTGATTCGAGGAGATGGGTGGCCAGAACCACGCCCAGACGCCGTTGTCTCCGAAGTGTCGATGTTTACACATCGCACCAGATAATCATTTGGGGCTGAGTCAACCTCGGGGAGACCCGGGACCGGCACAGATACAATCGTCACTGGTGTTGGTGGCCGTGAGCATGGAATCGAACTCGCGTCGCCCACGGGATCGTAACGCAGGGCGCTCCCCTCCACCCCTTCCACCCCCATTGGCACAGCCGACTCCTCACCTTCACAGGATGGCTGGAGTTGGGGTGCGGGTCTGCAGACATGTCGAGGCTGTCTCGCTGTCGTCCGCTGCCCGCTCTGCGATCCGTGCTCTTCTCGCCGGGCGAGGTATTCTGACTTCCCTTATCTGTGTTTGTTTCTCCGATGGTTGAGTGGGTGTGTGGGTGTGTGTGTGTGTGGGTGTGTGTGTGTGTGGATGTGTGTGGATGTGTGTGTGTGGATGTGTGTGTGTGGGTGTGTGTGGATGTGTGGGTGGGTGTGTGTGGGTGTGTGTGGATGTGTGTGTGGGTGTGGATGTGCGGGTTTGTGTGTGTGGATGTGTGGGTGTGTGTGTGTGGGTGTGTGTGGATGTGTGGGTGTGTGTGTGTGTGTGGATGTGTGTGTGGGTGTGGATGTGTGGGTGTGTGTGTGGCTCCCCTAGGTCGACTCAGCCTCAAATGAGTACCTGGTGCGGTGTGTAAACATTGCCACTAGGGAGACAAAGGCGGTCGGGCGTGGTGCTGGCCACCGACCCACCCCCTCGTGTACCGTTCCGCCCTTCATAGGTGCTCGCTAACAGCACTTGCCCCAACAGTCTGTTAAGGCTACACGGGGGATCTTAATCTTTGTAGGGAGTGGTGGTGTTGCGGTTAGCGCACTGCGACTTCGATTCCCGCTCATGACCAACACCAGTGACGGTTATCCGGACCGGTCCTGGGCCTCCCCTAGATCGACTCAGCCTCAAATGAGTACCTGGTGCGATGTGTAAATATCGCCAAAAGGGAGACAAAAAAGGGCATTCATAGGTGCTACTCGTTAACAGCACTTGCCCCAACAGTCTGTTGAGGCTATACGGGGGATATTTGTCTTTGTTGTTAAAAGGGAAGTGTGTGCGCGTGTGGGTAAGTTAGTATGTGTGTGCGTGCACGCGTGTGTGTGTGGGTAAGTTAGTATGTGTGTGTGTGCACGCGTGTGTGTGTGTGGGTAAGTTAGTGTGTGTGTGTGCACGCGTGTGTGTGTGTAAGTTAGTGTGTGTGTGCACGCGTGTGTGTGTGTGCACGCGTGTGTGTGTGTGTGCACGTGTGTGTGTGCTGTCAAAGATTAGGGCGGACCGGTAGCGTTGTGGTCAGCGCGCTGCGCTCTGAACTTCGTGACCCAGAGTTCGATTTCCGCTCACAGCCAACGTCGACGGCGATTACGTGACCTGGTTCTGTGCTCTACTGACAGGTCAACTCAGTAGCTGGCGTTATGTGTAACCATCAATACTGGGGAGACAAAGGCGGCCTTCAGAGTTGGTCACTAAACACCACTTGCCACAACACTCCGTTAAGGCTATACAAGTACAGTTGATCTTTGTCTTTCGTGTGAAATTGTTTTTCGTGTGTGTAAGTTGAAGTGTGTGTAAGTGTGTTTGTGTGCGTATGCTGTACGGGTGTGCGACCAGTAGGGCTCGTGTAAACACGTGCTCACACGTGTGTAGAGTGTCCCCGAGTTTGTGACTGTGCGTATATGGGGGAGCGGTAGTGTAGTGGTTAGCGCGCTACCATCCCAGCTAACCCGAGTTCGACTTCCGCTCACGGCCACCAAACGCCGGTGACGATTGTCTGAACCGGTTCCTTTGGCCTCGCTTAGGTCGACTCGGACTCAAATGAGTACCTTGCGCGATGTGTAGCATCTTCCTCACGGTTCTTCACTCCAGTTTCTCCGTTCCTTTTCCAGTCTCTTTCCTCTCTTGTCTTTACCATCAAAGGAAACAAGAAGACGCTCGGTGTAGTCGGCACTTTGCTTCGTTCGTCATTTCGGGTTTTTTTTCGATGCTTTGCTTTATGTAACCCCCCCCTCCTCCCCATTTTTATAATGAAAGATTTCACGAAAGATTTCCTCTCGTTTCCAAAATGTTTCGCTCTCCTCGTTGCGTTCTCTTCGTCCATGCGTACGTGGCGGACGTTGAACTTCTTTCGCACCGTACGTGGCCAACCGTGCTCATCGGAGGTGTCAAAGATGAGGGCGGACCGGTACAATACATCGTTGACTCCACTGCCCTACCATGATACACCACGGTTCCTTAAAGGTTGCTTGTGTACACAACGTGTTTGTACGAACCCACAAAGACAAATAACCCCCGTATAGTCTGAACAAACTCCTGGGGCAAGTGCTGTTAGCGAGCACCTATATGAATGGGGTGGCCAACACCAGTCCCGGCCGCCTTTGTATCCCCAGTGCTGATTATTTTACACACTGCGCCAGGTACTCATTTGATGCCGAGTCGACCTAGGGGTGGTCCAGGTCCCGCTCAAGATATTCGTCAGCGATGTTTGCGGCTGCGAGCGGGGATCGAACTCAGTGAGTCTCGCGGAAATTCGTGACAGCGCCGCGCAAACCACTGCACCACCGCTCCCCAGGCACCGCCCACACACTCCGAGAGAGAGGAGGAGGTGACACAGCGTGAGGCAGTGCGGCGTCACCTCGCGGTGTCCCTCACTCACGAGGCCACTCGGTGGCGCCTCATCGCCGGGTCCCCAAAACCATCACGATGACAAACCGCGCTGCTGATGCTGACCCTGGTACTGACCCTGGCGCGGAGGACGACTCAGGGGGAGAGGACGACTCAGAGAGAGAGGACGACTCAGAGAGAGAGGACGACTCAGTGGGAGAGGACGACTCAGAGAGAGAGGACGACTCAGAGAGAGAGGACGACTCAGAGAGAGAGGACGACTCAGTGGCAGAGGACGACTCAGTGGGAGAGGACGACTCAGAGAGAGAGGACGACTCAGAGAGAGAGGACGACTCAGAGAGAGAGGACGACTCAGGGGGAGAGGACGACTCAGAGAGAGAGGGCGACTCAGAGAGAGAGGACGACTCAGTGGGAGAGGACGACTCAGGGGGAGAGGACGACTCAGAGAGAGGACGACTCAAAGAGAGAGGACGACTCAGGGGGAGAGGACGACTCAGAGAGAGAGGACGACTCAGAGAGAGAGAGGACGACTCAGGGGGAGAGGACGACTCAGAGAGAGAGGGCGACTCAGAGAGAGAGAGGACGACTCAGGGGGAGAGGACGACTCAGGGGGAGAGGACGACTCAGAGAGAGAGGACGACTCATAGGGAGAGGACGACTCAGTGGGAGAGGACGACTCAGTGGGAGAGGACGACTCAGAGAGAGGACGACTCAGTGGGAGAGGACGACTCAGTGGGAGTGGACGACTCAGGGGGAGAGGACGACTCAGAGAGAGAGGACGACTCATAGGGAGAGGACGACTCAGAGGGAAAGGAGGACTCAGAGAGAGGACGACTCAGAGAGAGAGGACGACTAAGGGGGAGAAGACGACTCAGGGAGAGGATGACTCAGAGAGAGAGGACGACTCAGAGAGAGAGGACGACTCGGAGAGAGAGGACGACTCAGAGAGAGAGGACGACTCAGAGAGAGAGGACGACTCAGGGGGAGAGGACGACTCAGAGAGAGGACGACTCAGGGGGACAGGACGACTCAGGGGGAGAGGACGACTCAGAGAGAAGACGACTCAGGGGGAGAGGACGACTCAGAGAGAGAGGACGACTCAGAGAGAGAGGACGACTCAGTGGGAGAGGACGACTCAGTGGGAGAGGACGACTCAGAGAGAGAGGACGACTCAGAGAGAGAGAGGACGACTCAGTGGGAGAGGACGACTCAGTGGGAGAGGACGACTTAGAGAGAGAAAACGACTCAGAGAAAGAGGACGACTCAGAGAAAGAGGACGACTCAGGGTACGAGGACGACTCAGAGAGAGGACAACTCAGAGAGAGAGGACGACTCAGAGAGAGGACGACTAAGGGGGAGAGAGGACGATTCAGGGAAAGAGGACGACTCTGAGAGAGAGGACGACTCAGAGAGAGAGGACGACTCAGGGGGAGAGGACGACTCAGGGAGAGAGGACGACTCAGAGAGAGAGAGGACGACTCAGAGAGAGAGGACGACTCAGAGAGAGAGGACGACTCAGGGGGAGAGGACGACTCAGTGGGAGAGGGCGACTCAGAGAGAGAGGACGACTCAAAGAGAGAGGACGACTCAGGGGGACAGGACGCCTCAGGGGGAGAGGACGACTAAGGGGGACAGGACGACTCAGAGAGAGAGGACGACTCAGAGAGAGAGAGAGGACGACTCAGGGGGAGAGGACGACTCAGGGGTAGAGGACGACTCAGGGGGACAGGACGACTCAGGGGGAAAGGGCGACTCAGGGGGAGAGAGGACGACTCAGAGAGAGGACGACTCAGGGGGACAGGACGACTCAGGGGGAGAGGACGACTCAGGGAGAGAGAGGACGACTCAGGGGGAGAGGACGACTCAGAGAGAGGACGACTCAGGGGGAGAGGACGACTCAGAGAGATAGGACGACTCAGAGAGAGAGGGCGACTCAGAGAGAGAGGACGACTCAGAGAGAGAGGACGACTCAGGGGGAGAGAGGACGACTCAGAGAGAGAGGACGACTCGGAGAGAGGACGACTCAGAGAGAGAGGACGACTCAGGGGGAGAGGACCACTCAGAGAGATAGGACGACTCAGAGAGAGAGGGCGACTCAGAGAGAGAGGACGACTCAGGGGGAGAGGACGACTCAGAGAGAGAGAGGACGACTCAGGGGGAGAGGACGACTCAGAGAGATAGGACGGCTCAGAGAGAGAGGGCGACTCAGAGAGAGAGGACGACTCAGAGAGAGAGGGCGACTCAGAGAGAGAGGACGACTCAGGGGGAGAGGACGACTCAGAGAGAGAGAGGACGACTCAGGGGGAGAGGACGACTCAGAGAGATAGGACGGCTCAGAGAGAGAGGGCGACTCAGAGAGAGAGGACGACTCAGAGAGAGAGGACGACTCAGAGAGAGAGGACGACTCAGAGAGAGAGGACGACTCGGAGAGAGAGGACGACTCAGAGAAAGAGGACGACTCAGGGGGCGAGGACGACTCAGGGGGAGAGGCCGACTCAGGGGGGAGAGGATGACTCAGGTAGAGAGGACGACTAAGGGGGAGAGGGGACGACTCAGGGGGAGAGGACGACTCAGGGGGAGAGGACGACTCAGGTAGAGAGGACGACTCAGAGAGAGGACGACTCAGGGGGAGAGGATGACTCAGAGAGAGAGGACGACTCAGTGGGAGAGGGCGACTCGGAGAGAGAGGACGACTC